AATTTAAACAATTGAATATAGACTTTTTGAAAAATTCAAAAGAATTTGTTTCATACGATTTACAGGAGTTTTCTTTATCAATTGTATAAATAATATAGATTTTATATATTTAGTGATCACTCTCTTAACAGAATCAAAGTTAATTAATCTATTGTTATTTTGATTAATTTCAAATATAGGTTTCATTTGATTTAGTTCCTATATACAAATAAAAATTTTAAATTATTATTCAAATCTATTATAGTATAACTCAAGTATAATTTCTTCATTAACGTAATTGCAACTCACAAAATAGATTATTATATCTATTTGCCATCCTTTATTTAAATAAAAGCTATATATAAATGATGAAATCAAACTTTATAAAAATTGTTGATCCCCTTTTCATCTATTTCAATTTCAATCCTTTTTTGTAATTCTTAATAATACTTATATATTATTCCTTTAAACAAAATTGAAATTCTATTAAAGTTTGAAATCTTTAATTAAGTATAGATAACTCTTTCTACACTACACTTGATAATTTATTAGTTAGAAAAATCTAAGTAGTTTTCAAAGAATAAATCGAATTTAATTAGAAAATCAAAATAAATTCATTGAAAAAAGTTATGATAAAACAATAATGTTAAACATAATAGTAATGTGTAAAATAATTTTTGCTTAAAAAGATACTTCTTTGTTATTTATCCTTTAATTTGAACAGGTTTGGTTATAATTAGTCATTTTAAGATAAAATTGCTGAGATTTCAATTGTGAATATAATTTATCCATCAAATTTAACAATTATATCAAGAATTATAATTGAAAATATCATTTCAATATTCAACCTACTTTTTAAAAATGATTTATTAAATCAATCTTCCTGATAAAGTTTGAGATATTTCATATGTGAAATTTCAATTAACTAATAAATTTTTTATGGGAAGAAGGATGACAAAACTTTATTGAAGAATTTTTCTCTTAAATAAATCAATCACTAATGGCAGAGTGAATATTCTAAATTGGAAGGAAACTTTGAAGAGAGATAAAATGTTTAATAAGGAAAAATTATTCTTAAGGCCAGTAATAAATAACAAAAATGGTAAATTAATAGATAGATGTTTTGAAGAAAAACCTAATAGAATATTATTTGTATTTGAATATATTTAATAACACTAAATTTCACTGACTTTCAAATGCTAATAAACAGAAATCTACTTGATTCTATATAAGTTTCTAAAGCTCTATTATTTTCTAAAAAGTACTAGTGGTATTACTTTATAATTCCTCATATAGAAATCTTAAAAATGGAATCATTAAAATCATATGTGTACAAGCAAACTCAATCCTTCTTGGATTGTTGTTGTATCTCGCATGGGTTGTGAATGTTGCAACAAAGGAAAAGTTACTCTATTCTTATAACATGATATATAGATAAATTCTTTGAATCACTCAGAAAATGGATAGAAATATAAAAATACTTTCCAAAGAAGAAATTTATGCACTAGCTTGGATTTATGAACAGTTATTCATTTATGATCCAAGTTAAACTTATAATATAGAGTTCAAAGATTCCTACTAACCCCAAATTAGATAGATTAATACCATTGAAAATCAGACGCGATAGAATTACAATAATCAAGAGACTCTATATTAAAAAAACTATTTAGAGACACTAAAATATTATCATATGCTGATGATATTGTCATAATTACTTTTAATAATTTGTCACTTGGGATAATTCTAGATCTTTCTTATCATTTTGGTTTAAATTTAATATTAAAAATCTAACTTCATGTTAAATGCTTAATCTGGATTGAAGTATCTAGAAACACTAAGATTTGAAAAAGTCAAGCATTTAAAATATATATAAATATTTCTATTTTCAAAAGAAATATTGTCGAACACAGAAGACATATAAAGACTAAGGTGGCTTTGCTAAATAATTAGTTAGTGTTTTGGATGTAATACTCCTTCTAAGACATACGACTCAATTATAGAAGTGATTATAAATTTTCAGTACTTTTATAAAGTCAATTCATAGACTGCCGAAGTCTACAGCTAATCATTTGATTTATGAGATATGAAAATGCTTTGGTTTTATACCTTTGGCCTTACTTTGTCATTTAAAGAATAGAAAAGCCAATTTTTTTATTTTATAGAAACCTCTAACTACCATCTCCGAAAATAAATTAAAATCAAGAAATAAAAAAATAAACTAGAAAGCAACCTCTACCTAAAGATGATTTAGAGAAATTAACTAAGTATAATTTGAATTCAGGAAAAGGAGATGATTCAAATTTTTGCCTAACTTATTTAATCAAAAAAAATCAATATCTAAAATTTTATGAAATTTATATATTTTTCCTCTCCTTTCGCTCAAAAACTAAAGACTTTTTTATCTATTCTTTCAAATTCTAATCAAAAATAAATAAAGCAATAATAAGGGATTAACATAAAAACGATTCCTATCCAAGAATATTTTTTAATCAAAATAAATTTTAAATGATCTATCAATCTAGGTTAAGCTGAAACTCATTTAGAATATCCTTATTCAAAAGCGTAACACTTCTTAACTAGTATATAGTGCCTCACATCATCTGTTAAAACAACAGAAGGTCACTATTATGATAGCAACAATATTAACATCTTTAAAAACCTAGATATAAAAAGCATTTAAAGTTTAAAAAAACTTAAAACTTAAACAATCAGTCTCAACAACCTAATTACAGTTCTACTTCTACTCTAATAACTTAAGGAAAATAACAAAGGGGAGGAGCTGATTATCAAATTGATCAGGAAGTCTAAACCTAAAGTAAACTCAACATAGACATGTTATATTTCAAACCTGTCAAATTGTTTAGGGAAGACCTTTCTGAAATTAACCATGAAGTTGAAGAGAAAAGCTTTCTCCAATGCAGTACAGAAGGCTTCAGATAGTAAAAACTAAATCAAAAATCCCTAAAATTGAGAAATCATTACTATCTGACCTTAACTATCTCCAATATAAGTCCATAAATGCCTAACTCCTATATACTTCTCTACAATACCAAACTTACAAATTATCACAGAATCAAATAATCTTTAAATTCTTTTGCTTAAGAACTATCCATTTAAAATCCTGCTAGATATGGCAACTGTCTAAAAAACGTTAATCCTACCTTGAAATTTACAACGAGAAACAAAATCTGAGTAAACAAACAACTAAAATTCAGAGTAAGGAATTTTAGGTTTATTCGTTATCATTCAAACAAGTAATCTTTACTCTCAAACCCTAAATCTCAAAGGACGTATTTCTCACTTAATTGTATTATAATAAGTCCCTTTAGACTTGCCTCTACTAATCTACTTAAGATTTTTTATTTTTTAAAATGATTTATCTCAAGTAATAATATTCTTGGTTTTCCAAATGCTCCTACTCCGTAGTATGATTTCAAAAAGGTTTATTATTTTGATTAATTTAAGATTAAAATTTATAAATAGTTATGTGTTTATATAGACAAGGCTAAAGAAAAATGGCATCTCAACCAGATCTGATGATATTTTTATTTGTTAGTAACCTGGCTCTTCTCTTCTTACTCAATTA